CCCAAAAAAAAAAATGTATTCTGCACTTTCTATTTTAAATCAAATATTTTATTTACACAATAATAAATATTTATTAAAAATTGATGTGAACCAGATAGAGTAAGTCGAACAGCACTATAAGTCCATAACCTGCAAACAAGGTTATTTTTAGTATTACTTGGATCAAAAGATAATACATTATTTCACTTCAACAACGTAATGAAACATATGACACTAATATGTATAATAATTAAGTCCGGACTGACCGGACTGTTTTAATAGTTAAAATACTATACTAAAATATTAATAAATATTATTGTAATATTGTATATATCCCGAGTACTGCACCATTTTGTTAAAATTTATTTTCCTGGTTCGTTTTTTAAATTAACTATAGTATAACATTAACATGTTATTTATATTTAAAAAAATTACAGAAACACATATATACAGTAACACAATAAGATTTTAAAATGTTGCGTTCATTAAAGCTTATAACTATTTCATGAAATCGTAGTCCATAGAATTTCTGTAGAGATTTATATATAATATATGGGCATATGGTTAGATATTGGAATGTAAAATCGCTTCAACAATCAAAATAATATTTTTCATAACTACCAATAAACATCTAAAAATAATAATAACTAATTGGTACCTAATAAATTATACAAGTACCTATGTATGAGTACATATTTATTGGACGTAAGGATAGAGGTATATTTTGGAAGCAAAATATAATCCAAAGTAAATAAATCTATTTTTATATCAACCATTGTAGTAATATTATTGTTTAACTGTAGAATTGTTTATAATTTTTAAGGGTATCTCACATTAAATTTTCAGTTCATTAACACATTGGCGCAGATCGATTGATTTTTGGGCAACAATAATTAGAAAAATAGATACAACAAAAAATATAATAACAATTTAGTAAACATCTCATATTATGCTTTTTTAAATCTATTCCCACACAAAAACTTGCTGCATAATAAATCATTCTAAACTTATCAAAAACGTACACAACATGAGGTCCTTTACTTTAAAAAATAAAATATTAAAATCGCACTAAAATCTTTAGCCGATGGTTTGTTGAATTTTCTACATCTTATTATAACAATCACGCAATAACTGACTGAAGTTAAGACTAGGAATAAAATTGTATAGTTGAATGTTTTAGTGTCATTAAAATTGCCTATACTAAACCCCTTCAAAAACATTGGTGGATGGTGAATGGTAATGCATTATCCTGTACTGTTTGATCGTCAGTGACGCACTGCTCAATATTTACAACGATTATGATGAAATGTTTTTTGCAGATTCCCATCAAAACGCTCAGCGCCGTCGGGACTCTGATTAAGACAGCCCGACCCCTGGTGCGCAGAACCCGCGAACGGATTCAGCAGTACTACACGGGCTACCAGCAGCAATACAGCAACGGCCAGCAGCAATACGGCAACGGCCAGCAGCAGTATGGCTATGGCTTGCAGCAATACAACAATGGCCAGCAGTACTACACCAGCGGTCAGAAGCGCTACAGCATCGGCCGGCAGAACTCCAACACCGATCCTCAATCACGTCAGTACGATGGAGGGGAAGAGTTCGTCTACCGGCCCAAGCGGGCTTATCAGGTGACTAATTGGGGCAGGAACAATCAGCCCGAGTACTGGACGCGCCGCCTGTACGGAATTTACTGATATCTCCAGCGATTTGTAACGGAATACTATGTGTTTCGTTATAAATCGATAATCGAATGTCCAGCAATAATGACCCTCATTATTATTGAGGAGGTCGCTGCCTTAAATATTAGTGTAATAATCCAGATAACTGCGCACATTTTGTACATCATCCATTGAAAAATTCAAATATAACATTTTAAGGTTGCTATACCTGTATATAAATATCGTGTTACGATAAGTCACACCTTAAATATTTACCATGTATGCATTATTATTATTAGGTATTTAATTTGTGAGTTTTTCCTTTAACGCTGAGTTTTTTTTCCACGATTTTTTAAGACTGTCTTGAAAAACAACTTTGCTCCAGCAGATTACGAATTGTTACTATTTTTAATTTGTCTACTGATTTATAACTATGGTAATAATACCAAGATCATTTTTTTAATCTCTTCAAATAATAATTACATTTTAAAAATGATTTTTTCTCAAACACATTTCAACTTATCATATTTTGTACCTTTTTAATGGTATCCCATATTATAATTTGTTTACGCCAAAACTCCACGCTATTATCATTATGACGTAATGAAACTTTCATCAAATTAAAATCTTTGTTGCTGTATAGAACACTAACCAATTATTCTGATCTTAAAAATGTACAGTTTGTATCACTCTGATATTGTATACTCATATTCAAAAACAAAATAAATAGCCTGTCTAAAAACAATATAAAATTTATTTTCTCATCCCTTTGAAATTTATAAAATAATCACGATTCGCCAATTTAATGCCCAAAGTTGTATGCAATTAAACGAGTTTTGTAAATGTATTAATTATTATTGGTTAGGTATTACCCTTTGGCCATTGCTCACATATCAGAAGTATAGATAATATAATAACAATTAATAAAACGTGTAAATACTATTGTTTATTTCTGTATCACGGTTTTAAAATATGGTGACAGAATAATTTCTTTAACAAAAATTAATTAGATTTTAAGTATTGGTATAATATTATTATTATAACCGAACATTAGTCTAAGTTTTTTGAATACATAATACGTAATTTTAATTTTAATAAATTATTGTGGTAATGTATAAGTTTTCCGATTATGACTATATTTTAATATTATCATGTGTTACTAAGTAAATATATTAGAGTCCTTACCAGTATAAAATCGAAATTTACAGCTTACTAAAAAATTATCGCCTACACTATCCATTATTTTAATCTTAAAATGGTACAGTTTTGATCACTTTTTCAATTTTTTCAAATAAATAAAACAAAATAGCAAATACCTATTCCGCCTTCAGAAAAAAAAATGTTTTTTTACCATCCCTGTACAATTTATGAAAAATCACTTTATAGTTGTTGATCATAAATCAATGTAACAGTTCTAGGTTTTACAATTAAACTCGTTTCTTACATTTATAGTTGGTGCTTAATTGTTCATAAGTTGTGTAATATATACGCTCATACGACATTAGTATGTAATATAATAAAATAAGTTAAATGTGTAAGTTCTATATCACCAAGTCTAGTATGTCGACAGTGGCATCATCTCTATGATATAATATGAAATAAAAAACTAACCATATTATAAGGTATCCTAACAGAATACCATTATTACAATATTACCTATAAAAAGTTGTTAATAGTAAAGATAGAAAAATATAGGTGTGAGTGAACATATGGTTAAGGGGTTTCCAATTATAAATAAGGGCCCAAAATAATTTTTCTTATATTGATTTTAATACAGAATAACCTAATATATAGTATCTAACCGTATGTCCGTTTATTTTAATCGATTACAATAATAAAATATATAATACCATGAATTAATATATTCACATACACCTTATGTGCTATTCGTTCATACGTTCATATAAATTTATTATGTTACCATTACGCAATTAGGTTACAATATTACAATTACAATAAAACTATTGTGTATTTATTAATTAGTATAAATAATATTTCAATTTAAAAACTAAAAATATAATAATACGCATAGGTTCCTAGGTTTATAGGTAATAATGTAATATATATAAACGAAAACCAATTTAAAAATATTATGAAGTACAATGGGAATTATAAAATTTAATAGGTATATGTTACCATTTACCACCTATATATGATAGTGTTATATTAGGTTTTAATTGTTATATATAAGAAATTAAATACATTTAAAAAATAACTTTTATTTAGATAATGCCAATTATTGGCCTGTACTACAAAGTACAATATTGTTTATGATCTAACATTATTAACTATAGGGTAACTATTTCAGTTTCCCTAACTTCTAAATAAATTAATTTAAATATTGTTAAAATATTATGCATACATTTTATTTGATGTTTTTCACGTATAGTTAAATAAATGATATATTTTTAATAAACAACAAAATATTAATAGTACAATGACACCAATACGGGTGTTTATCATTTCAGCCAAAAAAGTATATTTTCATTTGAGCCATGATTATATACATCATTTTGGTTTAATACGAAAACCAAAAGAACTACCTACATACTTAATACCTTTACATTTATCACAACAGGCGAAAAACAAATTTCGGTCTTTCGTCATTTCACGATTATCGTAATTTATTTAAGGTATTACATTACCAAAACATTAGTACAAAATCAGTATAACGCATTATAATATTCACACCTAATATTTTTATTAATTTCATATTTTATTTGTAATTTAATCATAGTACTGAAATAAATTATCAATCTAAACTAAACAAGATAAACTAAACTAAACTAATATAGTAATATTAATAAATAGATAAGTAAATCTTTTGACCAGCTTAAACAATTATAGTAGTTAGTAAATCTTCCCTATAATTTTGTAAGCAAGTAAAATAAATACACCGGGATTTTTCTATCAACAATAATTAATACCAAGATGCATTTTTAAATCTCTAAGAATTATTATTATATTTCAATTTTTTTTTAAATGATCCATAATAACTAGCTTAAAATGTATGATGTATAATGGAAATTATAAAATTAAATAGGTCACCTATATCACCTATACTGCATAATATATTAATCGAGATTTGATTTTTCAAAAAATTAGTTGAATATGAACAAATTTCAGACAACTAAAAGTCAAAAGAATAGCATAATATTAACAACATTTGTTAAAAAAATTGTATAATTCATAAACGTTTAGTAGTTATCAAATTTTTATAATTATTATACTATTATAATATTTAATTATCTAAATACTATAAATATAAAAACTAAAGGGTAAAAAAACAGTTAAAGAAATGATTTGTCGCTCACTCTGTAAAGCATAACTAAACTGTACTATTATGTTTTCTAATTTCATAATAAATATATTATAATGTATCATCTCATACATTTAAAAAAAAAGTATTGAGTTCTAATTTTCATTATTAAAACCACCAACAACAATATAAAAGTAAATAGAGTTATTTAAATAGAATATCAAGGATAAAAATAATGGCTTCAATAATTATTGTGCTGAAAACTAATATTTTTAATAAACTGAAATATGTTATAAAAAGTGAAAATAACTGATCATCATTTATAACATGTGATAAGTTGTATGCATTGCCATTGACATAGCATCCACATCAAAACAATTATCATGCTTAGCCTCATATAAAACGCACCACTTATTATTGTAATTTATCTTAAAACCTTATTACCTGTTGATATATCAATATGACAGAGTAATTTTAATCGATTCTCTATTCTGGGGTTTACTTCATAATATAAACATATTCATTTAGTAAAAATATCTGTTGCTTACAATCTTTTGGATTCGATTGGTAGTTGTACATATATATGTTGCGGTCAATGATGAAAATTGAATATTTACGTTATTAACCGGCCATTAACGTTAGAAGCCAATTCGCTAGGTTATTTTCGTTAACTACCGGGCAATAACGTCCGTATCCAAGATAATAGGTTATTGTTGTAAATCACAAAATAAAATAAAACAATTTTACCTCAATGACGGAATCTTAACGTTATTAACCATTGACTGTTGGTCAATTACGTAAATAAAATTAATTACAGACTACACTTATTAATAATTGTCTTATTATTTTTTTATTATTAATAATATATTATATATTTATTATTTATTATTTATTTTCGCAAGGCATGCTGTTGTGACATTTTGAGTTACACAATATTCCTGCTGATTGACAAATGCATTTGTTTGTTCTGCACTTTAGTTTGCAATTGCACCTTCTGCATGAAACCTTGTGATCCAGTGACTCTATTAAATCTGCAGCTTCTCTCAGCGTAATTTCTTTTTTGGTATTTACAAATTCCAAATCAACGAAACTTTCTTTGCATGGATCAATCTGCGATCGAGTATACATATGTTCAATAATGCCGTTTTCCGTACGCCGTACTTAATTAAAGAGCATTAATGAATACAAATAAATGTATCTAAATAATATAACTTATAAGTACCTACCTAATTTACATAAATCATCTTCAACCTGGGTCACTCGTGTAACTATCGCTGATTATCGATGATATTTTTATAAATAATACATACTAACGTAGTACCTAACGTGTGTAGTATGTAGATAGATAACTGACAGTTAACAGTGACCCGTATGTTATAAATGTATAATTTACAACAACGTCCAACAGGAGTTGGGAATTGACGCAAATGATAAAAAAATACCCGTGTTTACTACATTAACCATTATGTATCGCCATTTACGTAAATTACCGGCCATTTACGTAAATTCGTATGGTACAAGATAATTTTCGACATTGGCCGGGCTTTAACGTAAATATCAAAATTGTCGTCATTGACCGTAACATATACAAATTATTAGCATTTAATTCAAACTCAAAAAATTTGATAAGAAAATATTAATAAAATTAAAACAAACGAAACAAGAAATGCCTAAATAATTGTATAGTTACTTAAAATATTTTGGCGGAAATGAAAATTTTTTTTTAATAATACATAATATAAAGTAGTTAATTTAGGTTATATAACATTTTGTTGCTTGTGTTCAATTTGTTGTGTGTGTGTATTTGTAATATACATTCTGTAGAGGTTAGAATAAGAAAAAAACTTAATAATTATACCTATAATTAACGTATTTAAATGTTTGTTTGAAAACGTTTTTTTAATGCATTTTTTAAGGTTCTCTAGTGCATTAAATTCACAGTCCAACTTATGAGTCTTTTGGTTTTATTAATATGTATATTATAGGAACCTATATTTCAAATGAATAATTTGTCAAGTAATTTTAATACCGAAGTTTTCTATATTATGAAATCATATATATTTAATCTAAATGCATCCTTCATAGAATAACTCTTCTCCAATGTAAAAGTATTATGTATAGTGTATACCAATCACTGCACCGCACTTTATTATAAAATAAAAACAAATATTTTTGTTGCCTCTTCTTGCCAGTATGATTTTATATACTACTTATCTACTCAAGAAGTATCTAGGTTATTTTTGTACCTATCGGTAAATATAACTTTAAGAAATTGAGTCAAGGAAAGTCAACAAAAATAATTTAAAAAATCATTATTTTTCAAAACCTTGATGATTATTTAAATATATTAGTTGCATAACATTTTATCAGTGCTCGAATCGGGGGAGTGCAAAGGAACGGAGCTCATTTTCATATTTTTAAAGCATCCCTTTTAATATTTTTCATTAGAACGGAGGACGCGGAATGTTTTATTTTGCAATAATTATTTCGTTAAATTGTTACCTATTCAATAAGATATTAATAAAATTCAATTTTAAGATTTTTTCGATGATAATTGATAACGCTGTCAAAATTGCATTGGTACTAAGGTATAAGTATATGGTCAAAGTGTTTTATCTATTCAATCTTTTTAACAATTTATGATTAATTACCTAATTAATTATAAATGTTAGAATATACTTTTATGTATTAATTAAGGCTTTAAATAAAGTAAAATAACATTTATTGCACTTGGTGGTAAATGTTGTATTGGTATATTTTTTCAACTTACTTTTGTTGAAGATGGGGTGTGGGGAAAAAGCAATTCACGAACTAGGTGGAGTTTAATCGATGTAAAGAACTCTGAGTTTGTTCATTTCTTGTATCTTAAGCTTTCACTTGGCGATATTAAAAATCAAAAATAGTACCAAAATTATGACATCAAGTACCTGTATATTATGAGAAATGTATGATTGAAAGTGTTTAAAAAAATATGTTTGCAAATAGCTTTAACTGTTACAGCTTAAATTGTAGACCACCGCGGTCATTATAAAAACATATATTTTTTTTTTAATAAAACAAATGTATTTATTGAATTTTGTAACGACAATATAATATTTTTTTTTTTACCGTATTATATTTGAGTGCGTATTGTATTGCATTTTTTTAATTGTAAAATTATCTTACGAATTTAGAGTTGACAAGGTAAATTGAAATAATACGCGTCTCAAATGCCATGTTAGTATTGTTTAGAGGATTTAAAAATACACCCACATTCGGAATCCCAATGGTTGCTTTGTGGGTGCTTGAAACAGGCAGTACACTTTTTATAGTTGTATACTGCATTATCAGACAAGGGTCCGTCACTGGCGCATATAGTTGGAGTCGAGTGCTAAATCTATACTTTCAAAATATAATATTATGATATATTAATGAAATAAACTATGTAATCTCATATTATCACATTTCGAATTAAAATACTTTTGTATTCTGTAAGATATTATAAAAATGTCACGTGTGAAAAAATACTAACGTTCAAAGTTAGGTAGGTACCTAGTGCCTACCTACAACTATTTAATTTGGACGAGCTCATTAAAACAATGTTGTAGTTATAATTGAATTTTTTTTTAATATTTATATTTATAAATGTCTTTATTCTATGTTATTACTATAAAAGAGGTTTTGTTATCGAGGTATTTATGCAACGATTTATTATTTTTT